GGCATATACAATGCTTCTTCGAAAACTATCACCAACAGAGCAGTGGGGCAATATTAGGATATACATAGGTTTTGGCAACTCACCTGAGCTGGCTTACTGCCACCTGAAAAGTCCTGGAGGTGCCCTCCACCCTCTCCTCCCCTTTCTCCCTCTCCTCCCCCTCCTTCCCCCTCCCCTGCCCTGTCACAACGCTAATTTTGTCCCCAGTTGTGGCCCACAATGACATATCCTCTTATGCGTTATCACGGGCTCCTTGCGGATGTGCTAAAGCAAGCCGAGCGAAGTCAGGGCAGCAAGCCGAGCGAAGTCAGGGGAGCAAGCCGAGCTAAGGCAGGGGAGCAAGCCGAGCTAAGGCAGGGGAGCAAGTCGAGCTAAGACAAGGGAGCAAGCTGAGCTAAGACAGGGGAGCAAGCTGAGCTAAGGCAGGGGAGCAAGCCGAGCTAAGGCAGGGGAGCAAGCCGAGCTAAGACAGGGCAGCAAAGCAAGCTAAGACAGGGCAGCAAGCCGAGCTAAGTCAGGGGAGCAAGCCGAGCTAAGGCAGGAGAGCAAGCCGAGCTAAGGCAGGGGAGCAAGCCGAGCTATGGCAGGGGAGCAAGCCGAGCCAAGGCAGGGCAGCAAGCCGAGCTAAGGTAGGGCAGCAAGCCGAGCTAAGGCAATGGAGCAGAGGAGTTTCCAAACAAAACGAGAGCATAATGAAAGCCTGACGAGTCCACCCCCTTCCGTAAGCTCATAGCCCTGGGCCGTATCTTTCACTAAAGAGGAATCACACCTCGATGAGGAGCAACATCAAGAAGCTGTGATGCTGCCGTGACGAGCATCATTCGCCATTCAGCACATGACGGCCGCTACTAGCTGGTGTGACAGCCTCGTAGATGCATTCCCCTTCGCATCTCGCTGGCACGCTATAATGATTGCATCGTTCTTAAAACCCCCCCTTTATAAGTGTTTCGCTATCAAACAGGTCTCGCACGACCCCAAGAACTTCCGCCCAAAAAAGTGCAAGATTATTCATCATGACCAGGCAAAAAATGGGGGCTGGCAGGGAGCAAGGGTGTAGAGCAGTGGTGAGAGGTGGCGACTGTACTTCGTCAATAAGCGACCGTCGCAACACCATACGCGACAATATCACTTTTGACGAAACCACATACAGACGATGCCCAACCTTATCGTAGCTGAACCCTGTGCCTAAACAAAATCGCTTCCCAAAACCTCCGATATACGGGCAATGGGAGATCCGTTTGAGTCACTCTGCGACGTATCATTATTGGGTTTGCGACCAACATAAAGCATTGGACAAGTCATTGCAGACCTGGTTTTGTCGCCACGGGATTGTGTACCACAGTCGCCTGATCGCCTCACAAGAGTCGCATACTTACAACAAACATCGCCACCCAAGCCCCCCCCACAAATACCCACCCTTTTCACCACGTGCTCGTGCGAAAGCCTCATTTGCTTGTGGCAAGGGCATGCAAAATACTTGTGCGATAGAATACCCCGCACCCTCAAATCTTGTGCGACTCTGACGAGCTTCGTCTGTAAACCGATCAGGGCGCGAAAAAACAATGAACACCCAAAACAGCAGGAAGGCTGGACACGTAAGGACTTGGTGGCTTCCGCAAAAGTTGGGTTGCGCAACATGGCCGAGTTGCACAACTCGTGAAAGTACGCGTACAGTACTGGCAATTTGGGCAAAACAAGCTGGCGTACAAAATGAGAGAGGGCGCAACTCGGGCTGAGGATCTAAAAATATTGCAAGTTTCGCAGCGCTGCGCGCGAAACAACCAAATCAAAATGCGAAAATGAAAAAAACCAAGAATCTGGTAACCAAATATTCATTCTCATTTCAAGCAATTTGCAAATTGTGCTTCCCGAGTTGCACAACTTGACCCTGCTTTGTCTTAGAGTAACCAAATGAATAGAATGAAGGCATACAAGGGAATATATGGTTTGGTGTTGTACTCTTCAAGAGCACGAACCCTTCTAGCCTATAACTGCTACATATGCAAATATGTATAAGTTGACACACCACCTAAGCAAGACAAGGGGAAGTTCCTAGCGCGAGACACGCAGCTCAGGGCGGCACTACTAGTCCAACCTCTGAGGCAAGGGTCTAAAGACTAGTCAGCAAGAGTACAAGCTAACCAAGAGTAACCAAGGGCGGCACTACTAGTCCAGCCACTAGAACAAGAGCCACAAGGCCAGTCAAGATAATATAAGGAGAACACAATCAGGGTCCTAGCAAGATAATATAAGGGGTACACAATCAAGATAATATAAGGAGTACACAATCAAGATAATATAAGGAGTACACAATCTGCGTGAGGAGCTACTGGATCTAGACCAAGCTGTACGCAGTGCCGCTAATGATGTTTAGGCGCAAGTGCCTTAGTAAAGATATCAGCTGTGTTGACATCGGAGGCCAAGTGTACTACGCGGGCTTGGCGGCGCTGCTGTAGCTCACGCAGGAGGAAGTTCCACCACTTGATATGCTTCGCTGTGCCCTCTAATCGCGGTCCCTGACACAGGAGGATCATGACCCTGTTGCTAGCGTACAGGACAGGGGTAGAGCTAGGTTGCTCACCTAATTTTGTGAGCAAGAAATTTAGACATTGGAGCTCTTGTGCCACCATTTCACCAGCGTACATCTCAGCCTCATAGCTAGAATGGGCAACAGACGACGAGCGGGTGGATCTCCAAGAGATGGCGCATGCACCAAGGCTAAAGTAGTAGCCCTGGGAGGACCTAAGAGTCTCAGCGTCGTCTGCCCACGAAGCGTCCATGTGCCATGTAAGGACCACTGGCCTGCGTCCTCCCAGCACTAGCCCCATGCCTGATGAACTTGCTAGATAATGCAAAACCCTTCTAGCGGCCGACTAGTGCTGTGGTCGGTGTCTGCCTGTGGCCACAAAGCGAGCCAGGATGCTGAGAGGGTATGCGAGATCTGGACGAGTGCAAGTCATTAGGTACATAAGGCAACCCATCAGCTCTGCGTACGGACCACTAGGCTCAACTGACTCGTCAGTGACTGGAGTCGAGAGCATGTGATATACTCGCAGAGATGTGGGCTGTGCAGAGGAGTACTGAAGAACGAACCTCTTAAGGACCTTGCACACCAATTGTGACTGTGTGAGAGCGATGGTGGGCGCTGCTCTGTCCCTGGAGATCTGCAAGCCAAGGTAGCAGCGCAGCTCTCCTAGGTCAGTGCAGGTGTGTCTCCTCAGCAGCTCAACCTTCACGGAGGCCACTGCATCTCTGTCTACAGCAGCGAAGACCAGGTTGTCTACGGAGAGAAGGATGAAGGCTGGGGTCTGGCTCAAACAAACGAAGAGCGAATGGTCTGCAGGTGAGCTAACGTAGCACGCAGCTTGTCATGCCACGCACGCGATGGTGGGCGCTGCTCTGTCCCTAGAGATCTGCAAGCCAAGGTAGCAACGCAGCTCTCCTAGGTCAGTGTAGGTGTGTCTCCTCAGCAGCTCAACCTTCACAGAGGCCAGTGCATCTCTGTCTGCAGCAGCGAAGACCAGGTTGTCTACGGAGACAAGGATGAAGGCTGGGGTCTGGCTCAAACAAACGAAGAGCGAAGGGTCTGCAGGTGAGCTAACGTAGCACGCAGCTTGTCATGCCACTCACGAGGCACTTGACGCAGACCGTAAACCGGGCGCCGAAGGAGCCACTCGATCCCAGGAGGAAAAGAGTCAGAGAAGCCCGGTGGTCGGCGTAGGTAGACCTGCTCGTGCAGACTGCCATGGAGAACACAGTGGAGAAGTCAAGAGAGTGCAGCTCGTAGTTGCGCTGTGGTGCTACATGAAGCAGCGCCCGAAGAGTGGTCATCTTCGTGGTGGGGGCGAAGGTCTGAAAGTAGTCATCACCCTCGTGTTGGCTGAAGCCTCTAGCAACGTAGTGCGCCATGAACACTGGTGGCCCTTCAGGAGGGCGCTTCACCTTGAAAAGCCATTGGCCATTGACTATGTTCACCCCAGGTGGGGGATTCGCGTCGACATAGGCCATAGGAACACGCTCTTAGGGCGCATTCCTATAGTTTGCGTCAGACTCGACCTTGCGTCAAACTCGCAACGAACCGAGACGCACCGCATGGAATTGCATGATCAAGCATGTGCACCATGCAGGGCCGCATGAGTCTGACGTGAGGTGGTCTGACGCGAGGTCATAGGAATCCGCCCTTAGGCGGAGCGACGCTTGGTTGGGTTGCACTTCAAAAGTCCCAAAATGTATCCGCGCAAGTTTCAAGTTTCTTTCCGCTCAAACGCCTCGTGTATTGGGGGCGGGGGCGGAATTGGCTGGGGGTTGGCGCACGCGTGTGTCAACTTATACATACATTTGCATGTAAAAGTTATAGGCTAGAATAAGTGTGTGTTCTCTCTTCTTTCTAATCATTCTAGTATTCTAACATGGTATCATGAGTAGGTTAGATCCCACCCCCCCACTTCCGCCTCGTGCCCTAGCCTACCACGCCTCGCCGGCCCCTAGAGCGTCGGCCGGCCCCTTCGCGCCCAGCCGGCACCTCTCGCGTCCAGTCGGCCCCTCGCGCTATAGCCAGCCCCTCGCACCTAGCTGGCCCCTGTTGCATCGTAGCCGGCCCATCACGCTGTAGCCGGCCTCTTGCTCCCAGCCCCCACTCCCCCCCCCCCCCCCCCCCCCCCCTTCCACCCCCCTCACACCTAGCTGGCCCCTCTCGCCTAGACGGCCCCGCTCACCCAGCCGGCCCCTCGCGCCTTGTTAGAATTAAGGACGGAGTCTAGGTGAACTTAGGAGCTAGAATTACTCAAAATATATATCCGAAATTCTGGACAGAAAAGTCGTCTTCACAAGAAACGACGTCGACAAAAACCTAGCCGTTGGAATGTCGCGAAACTTGGATATGTTGTAGCTCTTAATCTCAGCTACCGTTCCCAATTTGAATCACGTTGATTGATGAAGTATTCGCGACGCTATGGCTTTCGACGCACTAGGGGGTAAGCTGTAGGAGGAGAACTTAACTCAATCTCAAGAGTTCAATCAAAGTTCAAGAATCTCACAAGGAATTTGAGGAGCAAGAGAAAGGTTGGGATAGAAAGAGAGGGACGAGAGGGAAGGTCCCAAGAGAGTCCCCAACCAAGGAAACCCCATAAGCACAAAGATTCCCTCCCTATAGGAACCTCAACTTTGACCTTTGTCCCTTCCCAACCAATCCATCCAAGTTGGCCACCCTTGCCAACCTAGCTTGGTTGTTCCCAACCAATTTGCAGCTGTTACAGTAGAGTGACAAATTTCCCCAACCCCAAAGGTCCCAACTCCATATAGAGTCACCCCACAACTTCACTTTGTAACCGCCGCAATTGTAACGCAAGCTCATGAACTTTGAATCTTCATAGCTTTCGCGTTCTTGCTCCGATTGAAGCGATTCTTGTTGCGTCGGAAAGATCTTCTCAAGATCTATCATCAAAATACCTGCTCAAACAAAAATAACACAGAACACATTCCCAAACTCCAGAACACACCACACACAAATTCTTTCACATTCAAACCACACATGCAAGTTGAAAACATGGGATGGGAGGCAGACAGAATGTGATAGCATATGATGACATCACACAACAATCTCCCCCTCTGGCTGCCAACCATCATCGACCATACCACATCTCAAGCATGCATACTCAATGCACACTCATCCCAGCAAGCTTCATGCCCTTCCAATGATCCGCCTCCGCCAGACGCTTAGTGAAAATATCTGCTGCCTGCTGATGGGTCTTCACTATCTCCAGCCGCACCTCCTTATCAAGGATTCTCCTCACCCAATGCCACTTAGGCCTTATGTGTTTTGTCAGCCCATGCAGACAAGCATTCTTGGCGAGCTTCACAGCGGACTCATTGTCACAAAACACAACTGTCGGCTTCTCCTGACCAACTCCCAACTCCTCCAACAAACGCCTTAGCCACACTACTTCCTTGGCCCCATGGTGTAAGGCCATGTACTCAGTCTCACATGAAGACAATCCCACCTCATTCTGCTTCTTGCTGCGCCAGCTCACAGCACCACCTCCCAGCAAGCACACATAACCCCCAATGCTGGTGCCATCCGCTTTCACTGAGTTGAAGCTAGCGTCAGTATAGCAACTCAAGAGCATCTCTCCACTCTTCACATCTGCAGCACCTCTCTGCAACCGCTGCCTCACTCCACTGTACTCCAATCCCACTGATGCCGTAGCGCTCACATAGCGGACCAACCTCTTGGCCGCTTCCAGCTGCTCATGACTAGGGCGTGAGACCACACTAGCCAATCGTGATGTAGCAAATGCAATGTCAGGCCGTGTATGATTTGCAGCAATATTCAGCGACCCAACCATCGAATGAAACAGCTTCCTGTCACTATCACCCACTACCTCCTCATCAGCACATGGCTCCACAGTGAACCCCGAAGGTAGTGGTGTTGCTGGCTTTCCCCCATCTTGCAGCCCATACTTCTCAGCCAGCCCCTCACAGTACTTCCTCTGGTGCAACCTCAGCACACCCTTCTCCACATCTCTCTCCACAGGCATCCCCAAGTAGTACTTCACCTCACCCATCTTGGAACACTTGAACTGCATCTCCAGCATCTGCTCTGCACTGTCCAGCAAAGCAGTTGATGCAGAAAAGAGAAGGATATCATCCACGTACACCAAGAGCATGAGGATTTCATCCTTCTCCTGCAGCAGGAACAGGCTGGGGTCACACTCACTCTTCTTGAAACCCCCAGCCAACAGCGCCTCCTCCAACTTGTGATACCATGCACGAGGCGCCTGCTTAAGGCCATAGATGGCCTTCTTCAGCCTGCAGACCCTGCCGCTCCCATCATCCAGCCCCTCTGGCTGCTTCATGTACACCTCCTCCAGAATGATCCCATTCAGAAAGGCAGTCACAATGTCCATCTGCCGTATCTTCCATCCCAGGAGTGCAGCTATCGCCAACAGCACCCTCAATGTTGTTCCTTTCCCCACAGGAGCAAACACCTCATCATAGTCCTTCCCCTTTGTCTGCTGAAACCCCCGTGCCACAAGCCTAGACTTGTAGCGGGTCAGCTCCCCTTCAGGTCCATACTTGTGCCTGTAGATCATCTTGGAAGTGATTGCCTTCTTTCCAGGAGGCAAGTCACACAGGTCCCATGTCTCGTTCTCAATCAGGGACCCGAACTCCTCATCCTCACTCGCCTTCCACTTCTCCCCATTTGGTCCATTCAAGGCCTCCTCTCGAGTCTTGGGCTCAGGGATTGGTGCCCAGTAGCAGTGAGCGATCTCATCTTCCTCAATCTGCTCAACCACACTCCCAGCCTGCACCACATTTGGCTTGCCTCTTCCCCCATAGGTCAGCCTCACCGGAGGGCGCACATCCCTCCTAGGTCGCTCAGGCGGGTGTGGAACTCGAGATGGAGACTCATGCTGCTGCTGCTGCTGCTGCTGCTCTACTTCAGCTGCTCCCCCTTCCTCAGTCACCCCAGACATCTCCTCCTCTGACACTGCAACCTCCACCTGTCTTGAAGGCTGCTGCACCTCATCTGCCTCCACAATGAGCGGTGTAGATGGAAGCTTCTGTTGCTGCTGCTTCCATTCCTTGTAGTACAGGGACTCAAGAAACTTCACATCCCTTGACACTGTCAACTTCTGGGTGGTCAAGTCCCATAGCAGCCACCCCTTGTGATCCTTTGCAATCCCCAAGTGCACACCCCATCTTCCAGAAGCCTCCAACTTCCCCCTTTTCTCCTTAGGCACATGAAACACCACCATGCACCCAAATGCCCTCAGCATGTTCACAGCTGGAGCACTCCCATACCACTTGACATATGGGATCCACTCCTTATCTCCAACTGTAGCCAGCACCCTGTTCTTCACAAGGGCGACCTGCCTCAGTGCAGACACCCAAAATGGATCAGGCAGCCCTGCACGCCCAAGGAGAGTGCGTGCCCCCTCCTGCAGGGTCCTGTTGAACCTCTCAGCCACGCCATTCTGCTGCGGGTTGTAGGGCACTGTCAGTTGATGCTGGATCCCCTTCCTCTTCAACTCCCCCTCAAAATCAGCTCCAATGAACTCCCCACCATTGTCACTGCGGATCACCTTCACCTTGTGTCCGCATTCCCTCTGAGCTCTAGGCATCCACTCCTTAAGGACAGCCGCTGCCACCTCCCCCTTGCTCTTCAAAGGGTAAACCCACACTGCCCGAGTGTGGTCATCCACAATTGTCAAGAAATAGCGGCTGCCTGAGAGGGAAGGGGCTCTTGTGGGCCCCACCACATCCATGTGCACAAGTGCAAGTGGGGTCTTGGCTGGTCCTGTAGTGCTGTTGAAGGGGAACTTGGAGAACTTGGTCTCCAAGCATGTAGGGCAGCTCCCAATCTCCTTCACTCCCCCTTTCACCTCCAAGCCCTTCAGGCTCCCATCCTTCACCAACTTCTGCAGCATAGGGAAGTTCACATGACACAGCCTCTCATGCCATGTCTCCCAATCGGCCTCTCCACTCCTTGATGAAGCCTTAGCCCATGCCGCACTCGCATCCACACCAGCAAGCACCTCACCATGTGTCTGCTGCTGCTGCACTTTCTTGACTGCTTCCAGGACCCCATCAGTTGGTGCAGTTGCATCTCCTCCTGCTGTTGCCTTTGCCGCTGCTGCCGTTGCTGCTGTTGGAGTCTTCCCATTCCATGGGATGATGGGCAGCTGCCACAGGTCCTTGATGCAGCTGGTCTCCTCTTCCAGACTCCACAGCACCTTCTTCCCAAGCTTAGCACGGCAGCTGGTTGGTCCAAAGGTCACTTCGGCCTTACTCTTCTGCAGTCGCCGCACAGAGAGAAGGTTAGCAGACAAGCCTTTAACCAGCAGAACATTCCCAAGCCCCACAAGCTCCCCATTAGCTCCCTTAACCTTGGCATTCCCAACACCAATCACGGGGAGCAAAGCACCTGACGCTGCTGCCACATACTTAATCTTCCCAGGGGGTTTTACCTCATCAAGCAAATCTGCCCGTGGAGTCATGTGACTGGTGCAACCCGAATCAATCACCCAGTGCGTGAGAGGGTGCATCACAACCTTTCCCACAGATCCCACATCACCCTCATGCCCATGCACATCCTCAACCATAACAAACAAACCAGGATAGGCATTACCTTGTGCACCTTCACCTTGTGCACCTGAGCCTTGCACAGCGCCACCTTGTGCGCGTTCACCACTGGGCGGCTTCATGCCTGGAGGTGCCCATCCCTCCAGCCTGCTGAAGCACTTGAACCAAGGATGCCCAACCTTCTTGCAGTACCAGCACGTGCCCTCCATTCTGGTACTCCCCCTGCCACTAGAGCTCCCATGCCCCTCATTATAGTCACCTCGGCCTCTACCTCTGCCAAAGCTCCTCCCACGGCCTCGGCCTTTCCAACCCCCTCTTCCTCTGCTGCGCCCTGCAGCTCCATACCCCTCAGCAGTCTTAGTGGCAGCACCGCCTCCCACATGGCGTCTGCGGAAGTCCTCCTGCAGAATCTGCTGCCTTAGCCACTCAGGTGTCCATTGATCTTGCTGAGAGTTGAGGGTGGGGATGAGGTTGTCCCAAGAGTTGTCCAACACCGAGATGATCTTGGTGCACTGCTGCAGCTGAGATACACTGCTGCCCGCTGCTGCCATCCTTGCATAGGTGTCCTTGATCTTGTCAAGGACCGGCTTCACATCGTCCCCTGGTCGCATGGAGATGGCAGCAAGTTCCTTCTCGAGCACGATCACCATCGGGAGAGTGTTGGGCTGAACCACATCACGTAGTAGTTTCCACGCCCTTGGACCCGAATCATCCGCTTCCACAAGATCCTTGATGTGCTCGAACATCTCCTTGTTGACCGATTGAAGAATGAGGTCGAAAAGCACCGCGCTTTTCTCAATCCACCGTTCACGTGCTTCGCCTTCTTCCGGCATCTTCTCTTCCCCAACAGCAATCTTCAGGAGCTTGTAGCGTTTGAAGGCACTCCTCATCCGTCCGCTCCATTCCTCATAGTTGGAGCCATCCAAAGCTTCAACTTTTGATGGCGGCGGCTCACTTGTCTTCTCAGCTACAGCTCCTCTTCCATTAGCATCTCCTCCTCTCTCATTCATCTTCTCCTTGAGAAATGACGAATTTCAGCTCCCCTTTGCTGTCCACACTCAGCTCCCTCGATATTTTCACAAGTGTCGGCGTCCACGAAATTTCGGCAGAGTTTCCCCTTAGCGGAAGACACATCCAACCTTTAGAACACCACTTAGGCACACCCACAGGCCATGGTGGGTCTAGAAGGGTCTTCACACTTCTGTAGACTCCTCTCAATGTCCTTAATATTGCTCTGATACCACTTGTTAGAATTAAGGACGGAGTCTAGGTGAACTTAGGAGCTAGAATTACTCAAAATATATATCCGAAATTCTGGACAGAAAAGTCGTCTTCACAAGAAACGACGTCGACAAAAACCTAGCCGTTGGAATGTCGCGAAACTTGGATATGTTGTAGCTCTTAATCTCAGCTACCGTTCCCAATTTGAATCACGTTGATTGATGAAGTATTCGCGACGCTATGGCTTTCGACGCACTAGGGGGTAAGCTGTAGGAGGAGAACTTAACTCAATCTCAAGAGTTCAATCAAAGTTCAAGAATCTCACAAGGAATTTGAGGAGCAAGAGAAAGGTTGGGATAGAAAGAGAGGGACGAGAGGGAAGGTCCCAAGAGAGTCCCCAACCAAGGAAACCCCATAAGCACAAAGATTCCCTCCCTATAGGAACCTCAACTTTGACCTTTGTCCCTTCCCAACCAATCCATCCAAGTTGGCCACCCTTGCCAACCTAGCTTGGTTGTTCCCAACCAATTTGCAGCTGTTACAGTAGAGTGACAAATTTCCCCAACCCCAAAGGTCCCAACTCCATATAGAGTCACCCCACAACTTCACTTTGTAACCGCCGCAATTGTAACGCAAGCTCATGAACTTTGAATCTTCATAGCTTTCGCGTTCTTGCTCCGATTGAAGCGATTCTTGTTGCGTCGGAAAGATCTTCTCAAGATCTATCATCAAAATACCTGCTCAAACAAAAATAACACAGAACACATTCCCAAACTCCAGAACACACCACACACAAATTCTTTCACATTCAAACCACACATGCAAGTTGAAAACATGGGATGGGAGGCAGACAGAATGTGATAGCATATGATGACATCACACAACACGCCTAGCCAGCCTCTACCGCCTAGCCGGCCTCTACCGCCTAGACGGCCCCGCTCACCCAGCCGGCCCCGCTCACCCAGCCAGCCCCACGCGCCTTGCCGGCTCCTCTCTACGTGCCGGCCCTTCCCACACCCGCCCGGCCTCTCACATGCCTGGCCGGCCCCTCGTGCACGTCCGCTGGCTTCTCACGTGCCCACCAGCCCACTTGCGCCCTCCTCGGCCTTCCGCCCGGTCTCAGTTCCGAAGATTCCTGCCGCCAAGTCGCTGTGCAGCTGAGTACCTGTGTCCCTGTGCCGCTTTGCCGCTGTGTCCCTGTGCCGATGTGTCCTAGTACCGCTGAGGTTACGCAATGGCTGACGCCATGCTACGTCTGGACGCGGAGGGGCACGCGATCGACTTCGCCGCCTGGCTTGTCGATCTTCACCGGCACCTAACAAGTCAACGCCATGATGGGCACTCCTTGGCTATGCATGTTGATGGCTTGCTTCCCCGCCCCTCCATGCCTGATCCCCTCCCTGCTGACCCCACCACTGCTGAGAGTGAGGCCTTTGCTGCTGTTGCACTCGATCGCGCTGTCTAGGATTCTCGCGATGCTGTAGTGCAGCTTGCCATTAGTCATGCGCTTCCCCTATCTGAGCGTCCCCGCTTCACTGCTGTAGCAAACGCCAAAGACTTCCTAAGTAGTTGCACGCTACTCCACACCCGCCTCCGCCTCAGCTGGACGCTTGATCCTCCCCATGCTCTTCCCTGATCTCTCTGCTTTCCCCACTGTTGCTAATCTCGCCACTCACCTCCGTGCACTAGAGACTAGCTACCGCGCTGCTAACACTACTGCCCAGCTCATTCCCTTCCCCCCACCCTTCCTGCACTACCATATACCTTATTGCCATGCGTCTGCCTGACCGCTTAGCCACTGCCCGCGACCACTTCCTTAGCCAGCACCCTGGTGACCTCACCTTGACCGCCTTTGTCACTGCCCTTTCTGAGATAGAGACTCACCAGCGCACTATCGCTCAGTCGAGCGGGGATAGTGGTTCTGACGAGGGGGTTGGGGCAGGTGTCCAGGAGCAGCTGCAGCTGCAGCAGCCGCAGCAGCAGCAGTTGCAGCAGCAGGCGCAGCAGCAGCAGTCACAGCAGGAAAAACAGCCGTGGGCCCGCCTCCCGCGGGGGTGGCCAGGAGCCCTTGGAGGTGGTGGCCGAGGTTGTGGTCCTCGCAGCTCAGCGTCTACCAGCGGCTTCGGTGCTGTGGGCTGCCAGTACCAGCTCCAAACCGGGCCCCTCCGTGGCACTATGTGCCGCCGCCCGCACCCGACTGCCCGCTCCTTCCGCCGCCTCGACGACCTCTTCCGTCGTCGCTTCGGTCCAGCCCTGGACCTCCCTGACTGGCCCAGCCTGCTGCACCACGGTGTGCCTATTTTTGACTTAGACATGGATCAGATTAGTTCTGCTCTGCATTCTCTGTATGCTGACGCTTCAAGTGTGTCCATAACATATTACCCTGTGTTCTCTAGCATAGGTGTAGCACCTATGTGTAGTACTGCCACCCCTGCTGCGTCAAGCGTAGGACCGTTTGCTTTGTCTAGCCTAGGCCCTACGCTTGCTCCTCTTTCGTCCACCGCTACCACTTCGCTGTCCTTCACACTTGACTCCAGTGCGTCTGCCTGCTTCTTCCGCAACCATGCTGTGCTTACGCCGCTTGCCGTGCCTGCCGCTTTCGCACTTGCTGACCCCTCCTCTGGTCCTGTAGTTGCTCACAACTACACTACCCTTCCCTGTCCAGCGGTTCCCTCGGGTTCCCTTACAAGCCTGCACAGCCCCTCGTTCTCCCGGAACTTAGTTGGTGTCGGCTGTCTTCAGGACCTCGGCATCACCACTACGTTCCCGGGTCACGAGCGGTACGCCGTCTGTACCGAGGCCGCCTCAGGTTCCCCCGTTACGATGTTCCCCTAGGACTCCGTGTCTGGCCTCTTTACGCTGGACACTACTTCCCCCCCGGGTGGGGAGTCCTCCCCGGGTCCTGCGTCTTCCCAAGTCGCCGTTGCGTGCTCGTGTCAGTCGCTCACTCACCCGTCGCTTCTGTAGCACCGCCGCCTAGGTCACCCCGCACTCCCCCGTCTGCGTCACATGTCCCAGCGCGGTCTCGTCCTAGGTCTCCCTGCGTCGCTTCCTGCCCTCCCTCCCTCGCCTGCGCCGCCGTGCACGCCCTGCGTTGAGGGTTGGCTTCGCTGTGCTCAGTCCTCCTCGCTTCATCCTGCCACCGCACCCCTCCAGACCCTACACCTGTACGTCTTGGGCCAAGCCCCCGTCCCTATATCGCATCGCGAGTGCTACATTCTAGTACTCATGGATGACTACACGCGCTACACCACAGTGCTTCCCTTAGAGTGGAAGGCCGAGATGCCCGACGTTCTTATCCCGTGGGTCGTAGCTGCACGCCTCCACCGCGGTCTCCCTGTGCTGTGTCTCCACTCCTACCGTGGTGGCGAGTTCCCCTCTGGTCGGCTTGGACAGTTCTTTCGTGCGGACGGCATCACCCACTCGTACACCCTACTGGACTCCAAGAACCAGAATGGGGTCGCTGAGTGACGCATCGGCTTGGTCATGGAGGTGGCTCGTACCTCCATGATTCATGCCGGTTCACCCCATTTTCTGTGGCTGTTTGTCGTTCGCTACGCCGCTCACCAGCTTAATCTGTAGCCGCAGGTTTCGCCAACCCTTCTTCGGACCGGGTTCCCAAGTGACGCACCTACGTCGATGCAGTTCCCCCACCTAGGGTGAACGTAGTCGATGGCCGGTGGCTCTTCAAGGTAAAGCGCCCCCTTATAGAGCCGCCTGTGTTCAAGGCGTGCTACGTGGCTAGAGGCTTCAGTCAGTGAGAAGGGGTGGACTTCTTTCAGACCTTCGCCCTGACCCTAAAGATGACTACTCTTCGGGCGCTACTATGCGTAGCAGCACAGCATGACTACGAGCTCCACTCCCTCGACTTCTCCACTGCTTTTCTTCAGGGCAGCCTACAAGAGCAGGTCTACCTTCACCGACCATAGGGCTTCACCAGTACCTTTTCTCCTGGGACCCAGTGACACCTCCGGCGCCTAGTTTACGGCCTGCGACAGTCGCCCTGTGAGTGGCAGAACACGCTGTATGCTACACTAGTTGACCTGCAGTTCTTTCCGTCCTCTGCAGACCCTTCGCTCTTCGTTCGTGCTGGCCATACTCTGTTCTACATCCTTGTCTACGTAGACGACCTGGTCTTCGCTACTGCAGACAGAGACGCGCTGGCCTCCGTAAAGGCCGAGCTGCTGAGAAGACACACCTGCACTGACCTAGGAGAGCTGCGCTGCTACCTTGGCCTGCAGATCTCCAGGGACAGAGCCGCGCGCACCATCACTCTCACACAGTCACACTTGGTGCGCCAGGTCCTTCAGAGGTTCGGTCTTTAGTTGTCCTCCGCACAACCCACACCTCTGCCGGTAGATCACAAGCTCTCAGCTCTAGTTCCTGAGGATTTGGTAGAGCCCAGTGGTCCTTACGCAGAGCTGGTGGGTTGCCTCATGTGCCTGATGACTTTCACTCGTCTTGATCTAGCATACCCTCTCAGCATCCTAGCTCGCTTTGTGGCTACAGGCAGACACCGACCACAGCACTGGTCGGCTGCTAAGAGGGTTTTGCGTTATCTAGCGAGTACATCAGGCATGGGGCTAGTGCTAGGAGGACGCCGGCCAGTGGTCCTTACTGGGCACACAGACGCTTCGTGGGCGAACGACATTGAGACCCTCAGGTCCTCCCAGGGCTACTACTTTAGCCTTGGTTCAGGTGCCATCTCGTGGAGGTCCACTAGCTCCTCGTCTGTTGCCCAGTCTAGCTGTGAGGCTGAGATCTACGCTGGTGCCATGGCGGCACAGGAGCTCCGTTGGCTGACCTTCTTGCTCGCCGACTTAGGTGAGCGGCCTAGCTCTGCCCGGGTCGTGTACGCTGACAACAGGGCCACGATCCTCCTGTGTCAGGAGCCTAGACTTGAGGGCAGAGCAAAGCACATCCAGCTGCGGTACTTTCTCCTGCGTCAGCTACAGCAGCGCCGCCAGGCCCGCGTAGTACACTTGGCCTCCGGTGCCAACACAGCTGATGTTTACGAAGGCGCTTGCGCTTAAAGGCCATCAGCAGCACTGTTTGCAGCTTGGTCTAGTTCCTGTCGACTCTCACTTGCTAGGAGCTTGATTGTCTATTCCTCTTTATAT